TGCAAGACATGTAAAGTTCCGGTTTTAAAATAGTTGAATATCCTTACGGATTTTTAGTTTTTTTTCAAATATTTGGTTCTTTATATTTGTTTAGTTTTTTCGAATGCTCCCATCAGACATATTTGGTTCTTTATACTTGAAACTAAAGACAAGAAAGTATCGTATTTACAGAGCCAATAAAAATGTATGTACAGAGCTAAGAACCTGTACATAGACAATAAAAATGTATTTACAGAGCCAATAAAAATGCCTGTACAGAGACAAGAAAGTCTCGTTGCTTTGTTTTAGGACTTTCTTGATATACAAGTAAAGTAACTTAATCATTAGAGAAAGTTATTATGTGTGCGCTTTTCTTTATCTTATTTTAGTTTTTTTTTCTAAAATTTAAACGCCAGTGTATACAGAGCACCAGACCAACGCAATTCGAAGCGGAGGGAACAACGCATACACGGAGGTCATGCTCCATACACCTTGACGCAGCAGGTCCATCTGGAACTGCTACTTCTCCATCTTTTAACATAACCAGCTTAAAAGAACTTTGCCAAATTCTCTGTTTCATCTTGTGTCCAGTGATATTAATAATTGGCTTATATCACTGAGCACCATTAAAGTACATTATTAAATCCTACGTTATTGACGTTACCTCACAATAATTTATTGAGTATGACCTGACCACAATTTTACGCGTATCTTGTAATACAAGCAACGTTAAGTGTGTGCTAACCAAGTCTAAACAAGCAAATAGTGTAAAACCAAAGAAGTTATCAACCTATTAAAGAAAACAAATGTATTCAATAAAATTACGAAAGTAAAAGTAACAAGCTTGCTTATCTATGTGTCATACGCGGTAGTCCTATCTCATCATAAATTGCAGCCGCTAACTTCTTTCGTAGTTGTGGAATGTTTCTGTCATTCACCCCTTCAAAAGTACAACCAATTGCAAGGCATTCGATGTACTTTATAGCATACACACCACAGTCTCCGGGTTTCTCGTTCTGGGAGACGTTTCTAAGTCTTCGTACCGCAAATTGTTTATCACTCCTCTTCCGAACACAAGTAGGCACCATTGCATTCAAAATTGCAGGAACCATCATCGCGAACGGCCGACACTCGTTTCGAATGACTTTATCATCCTCGACTAAATTCAAAATGTTGTCATAAACATGAATATTCTCCTTCCCAATGTCGATGTCGAAAGCAACCCAGTGATTACCATTTATACAATGGCATGCATACATATGATCAACATCGTGAAGCCATTTCTTGTTTGTCGCTGAGTCTGCAGGATATGTCCCGTTGAATGCACCCTTATAGTTATCTGTCGCAGTCCACGTTTTTGCGTTAAATTCTTTGTAATCACGCACTAGCTTGTAGACAAACCACTGGTCCAAAAAAACAATCCGTTGAGAGTGATACGGAGATGGCTCACATAGAGATCGCTGATGAAAAATATGCATTGCACACCACATATGCTGCAACGAACAAACAATTAAAGAATTAGCTAATAGTACATTTTATAAAGCTATATGTGCCAATGTACAATTTGTTTTTCTGTGATAAGAAATGGTACTAACTGAACTATTCAACCACCCATATGTATCAGTGGACCATGCATCTCTCGGAGTTATAATAATCTTGTAGAATTCAACACTAGAGTCGTTGGTTCCATCAGGTTTCTCCCTAAAAAATCTTTAACAAACACACGTTACCGACGATATGCACCTGATAGTGACATAAGTAAGTAAAGAAGAAAGACATACCCAGTATCCAGTTGGAAATGAAGTAGCTTCTGAATTTTATTGTTGTCCACCTCCGCAAACGGGTCATATGCGGTGACAGATGGAGTGACACCTGCAATGATGCGCTTCACTGTAGAATTTCCAACAAACGGAAATAGCTGACTCGGTGCCAACTTTGTTTGTCGCTTGGGCAGAGGTGTGAGATTAGTCAATTTGGTAACCTTTGCGACGATTGCATCTAAATTTTCAGTAACTCCTTTCAATATGTCATGCTGTAGTGGATCTGTATATGTTTTCCCAGAAGATAAATCAAGAAGATGTGGCACTTGTATTTCAGTTTTGACAATCCTTTTCTCACCTGCTTTCTTCTTGCCTGCCTTCTTCACAGTTTTGACAACACAAATTGGTAAATCATTCTGGGATGTGGTTTTCATCTGAACCATCCAAGACTGTAAAAGAAACAGTTTTAATACGTGTAACCAAATAGTTTCATACACCAAACAAAATCATAGAAAAGAACCGTTTTATTGAACATACCATATCTTTACTTGTCACTTCTTCATTAGTATTAGCATTGGAATTGGCAGCTTCTTTTGGATCTGCAGGTACATTTTTTTCTCGCAGCTTTTCGATCTCCTTCTCTAATGTAACAAGTTTTTCAGTGAAGGGAGCTAGTAGAGCCTTAACCTTTGTATCAATTGCTGCATCCATTGCCGATAACAACTTAGTATGAAGGTTGATCTCCATGTTGTCTACTTTTTCTGTCAGCGTCTTGAACATGGCCAAAACCGTATTGCTTGCCATTTTCTTATCATGATCCTATAGTATATTAAAGGCAACCAAATAAGAAAATTATAATAGATTCCATAGTAAAAGAATGTTATTAAATATAATTATGAAAATGCAATTTTAGTCAAAACTATGACATATATTCGATAGTATTTGAAATGAAAACATAATAGTTGTACTTACAATAGAAGAATCTACATGTAGACTATCTCCAAAAGGCTGTTTATCCTTTATCTTTTTCGTTGCATAATTCTCATAATCACTCAAGGGTGAAGCTTCTTTACAGTTTTTCCTTTTCCTAATTGGAGCTGTGATTACATCTCAAGATTCTCGATCCACACAATCTTGACGTATATCATTAATCAAATTGTTCAGTTCCTGATCTTCAACCTCAGTATCCCACTTAGGCACCATGTTACCATCGTTGTAGGAAAGGAAATGCCTCACACGCAACTGAAAAAAAAATTACAAAAAAAATACGTTACACAAATTCAAGTTCTCTTGCACATCTTAACTACGTAACACAAATTACAACTTAACTACGTAGCTACCTAACATAAAAATAATTACACCTTAACTACGTAACACAAATTCAAGTTCTCTTCCACATCATAGAATAAATATCTTTTCATGCGCTTTCTTCTCTTGTGTTATGAAGTTATCAAAACGAAATCTCGTATGAGATCCACCCCATGAAAGAAGAGGAACTTCTTCACCAGCAATTTTGTTCCTATTTTGCTCTCCTATGCCGATAATTGATTCACACGCCCATATGAGTAACACATGAACAAATCCTTCCATCGTATAGGAGGTTTTTGCATCATAACTGACATTCTTAATGGATTGTATCAAACTCTTACACGCAACACGACCCCATGGATATCTCTCAAAAGCTTCAAGATCAAGTACTCATTTTACAACCTCCAAAGGGATTCGACTTGTTGGAGCTATGCCGTAGATTCCGATATGCAAAAAACACAAGCAACCAACCATTCTCCTCTTCTCAAAAATCCAAGTCTTGCATCTTCCTAACACAACCTGTAACTCATTCAAGTTAGGACCAACAAGTGGACAAACATTCAATTYCGTCCAAAARTCTGTGTGATCAACATCMCAAACAKCTCCATCTT